TAGCTTCCCATCTAAATAATGTTATCTTTATTTCACGTTTAGCTGACCTTTTGTTGTTGTTGTTTCTTGCATATTTGCAGAATGGTGTATTAGGCTCTAGACATGTTGCCCCCCTGCCCCTTCAGAACACTGTTTTATGGAGGATTGTTTTTGCACACTCCTCTTTGTCATTCGTTTGCGTCTTTGACACAATTCTCTACCTACCCACTTCCTCTTACTTCACGTCCTTCAATTTTTTTTTCTGCTCAAGTGAAAAATGATTCATCTATAAACTACAAGCTCTCTTTTGCTCTTTTCCTGTTGAATGTTTTAAAAAAGCCTTCACAAAAACCTTTCCATACACCCTGCAGGCCCAAGAAAATGACCATCAGTACCAAAAAAAACCTGTTTCAAAACGATTCCTCCTGTCTACCCATTTACTGTCAGTGACAGCAAAGCCACATTTGGTAAAAAAAATTCCTCCTTGGACAATTCAAAATTATGGTAACTTGCTGCCTCCTTTCTTCCCTGAATCACAGTCTCCACAAACTATTCTCCCTAAACCCTTTTTACCTAACCATTTCCTTACAATCCGACATCATACAATCTTATCTGTATCTGGAACCTCGGAGCAGGTTTGCCACAAGTCTGCTCTGCCCTTCGGCTTGTCATTTTTCAATCCACTCATTCCCCAGCTTTAAATACACAAATTACTTTGTCTCACTTCCTTGTGATCCTGTCCCTTGCTCAGTCTCCTTAGTTTCCCTCTTTCCACATACAGTATTCCCCCACACTGGAAAGTATCTCTAGAACTTTTTATCTCACAAGTTCCTTTCTTGTCTCTTCCTCCATTTCCCCTTTCTACAGGTTCCCTTTTCTTGCAAGTCAGTCAAGTTTTCTCTGAGATGACAGTGCCTTAGGTTCTCCATATTCCCTGCGATTCCCTTGAGAAAATAATCTTGAGCCTCAGGGCTTAACAACAGTGTTGATCTCAGCCAAATTTGCAATTTCCCCTTCCCTCATAAAAGGAGGATTAAATTGTTCCAAGTCAGATCCTTGCTCTCTTTGACTTTTGAAGGATTTGTGAAGGATCTTTTTGCCTCTGCAACCACTGAGTCAATCAATGTCACATGCATTCTAGCTCAACTGCATTAGCCTCAAAACTTTATCCCTCTTATTTAGTGAACAGACCAAAACGGTAGCTGCAAAATAAGGAAACAGACCTGGGACGGCTTCAACAGAAGATGTCAGTTCTCTCTGAAGTTCACTTCAGCTTTTCTACTCATTTCCTGTCAGAGCAATATATGACACCAGAGTTCCGTATTGCACCTCGTTCAACCAGATAATAACATTGCACCATCCTTCATCTACTTTGCTTCTCTAGAAGATTTTTACTTCACTTTTTTTTGTTTTTTGTTTTTATATAATGCCACAGCGTGGGTTTTTTTGTTTTTTTTTTGCCTAGTCAGCTCCTTGGGGTTCACTAAAATTAAATAACAAACACAGAGAAAGAATTAGAACTGTACAGGCATGTCTTTGGGTCAATCTCATGCTAAAGACCTCAATACGAATGTCTGCAATGAAACCTTTTGCAGTGCTGACTCATATACAGTGCTGTATATAAAACCGTGCTCCCTGGCCACCAAGACAGGACCACACAAATGGGAACGCACACAAGGACACACACAAACCATTCCTTACTTCCAGCAAATCCCATTCTTATTTTCAGAATTTTCTGCAGTCTGATCTGTTTTATTGCTCAATAGAGTTGTCCTCGTTTTCCAAATCTGTCTCAGTATGTGATTAGCTAATGGGACTTTTGAAAAAACCTATGCAACAGGAAGAATATGCAACATTTTCAGAAAAAGTTATCTCTCATCTAACAAGATCTCTTTAGTAAAAATAATGTTAATTCCAGTTTGGGTCACTTAAAAGAAAATTGGGCAAGGGGTTCATTGTATTTATGACTTTATCAATAGTTTAACTGGGGGACTCTTATTGCTTATTGTTGGTAACTGTAACTGTATCAGGATGTTTTATTGTTATGAATATAATCCACCAAGGGCAACTGCAGCAGCCCCTGCCCCCAAATCAAACAAAGAAAACATTTTAATTGTACACATAAGCAATATTCACACATCCTATTAGGCTGTGCAAAGACAAAAGGTGTTTTTAAATTATGGGTTCAAAAGGTTGTTGTTGTTGTTGTTGTTGTTGTTTGCGAAGTCGTGTCCGACCCATCGCAACCCCATGGACAACGTTCCTCCAGGCCTTCCTGTCCTCTACCATCTTCTGGAGTCCATTTAAGCTCACGCCTACTGCCTCAGTGGCTCCATCCAGCCACCTCATTCTCCGTCGTCCCCTTCTTCTATTGCCCTCAATCTTTCCCAGCATTAGGCTCTTCTCCAGTGAGTCATTCCTTCTCATTAGGTGGCCAAAGTATTTGAGTTTCAACTTCAGGATCTGGCCTTCTAAAGAGCAGTCGGGGTTGATCTCTTCTAGGACTGATTGGTTTGAACGCCTTGCAGTCCAAGGGACTTGCAGGAGTCTTCTCCAGCACCATAGTTCAAAGGCCTCAATTCTTTGTCGCTCAGCCTTTCTTATGGTCCAACTTTCACAGCCATACATTGCAACTGGGAAAACCAGTTCAAAAGGTAGAATATAAGTAATGCTAGTTCCTAAAAGGCTCAAACTTCATCTCCAAGTAAGTTAAATGGAATTTGTGTAAAAAGTAATACACATGTTGTTGTTGTTGTTGTTAATTGCGAAGTCGTGTCCAACCCATTGCGACCCCATGGACAACGTTCCTCCAGGCCTTCTTGACAGGAATAATCCATGCCTGTTTTGTGGTGGGCTGTGAACCATTTGGGAAAGGTTTGAGACTTTTTTTACTCTAATTAAACAATGCCTTATTTTAACATTAATTGCAAAAGATGAATGTTATTTCATAAGATGGACAAGCAGACCCACTGAAAGGTTCCTATATTGCACCTTTTCCCCCAAATCGCTGCCCAGATGTTCACTTATATCATCTGAGTAGGCATCATGGACTATGCTTTCTCTCCTATGATATTTTCTAGAATTTTTGCATTATTCAAAACTCAGAAGCAACAAATCAAGAGCCGGACCAGGCACACATGAACAGAAGTCTCACTTGGAAATTGGAACTGAAAGGTAAGAGTCAGTCATTTCTGCTGGAATAATTATTATTATTTTTCTCTTTTGATCCCCAGGAGAAAGCTGCTTATGGTAGAATTCTACAGCATAAAAGCAGCTGAAGGGAAGTTGAAGAGTTCAGGACGTTTCTTGATGCTTGCTCAGAGACACTGCCTCGTTGTCTTGCGTTCGGCTTAAAATTGATCTAATTTTTACAAACTTGAATTAAAAATGTGAGTGCTCTTTGTTGACAATGACGGGACTTTTTTTCAGGGGAAATCTGCCAGCCGATGTTCAAGGCTTGGCAGTGGGAGAAAGAAGCATTAGCACCAATCTGCAAATTGAACTCAATACCATGTCCAAAAATACAGTTTTCATAACTCCCTCCTGGCTAAATGCCAGAGGTGAAATTTTGTCTCTTTTTACAAAGGATGAAGGTGGGAAACTATGAAAAATCCATCTTAAACCTGATAGGAAGATGTAGGGAATAGGAGATTCAAAGCTGTTCTCACAGCAAATAAAGTGGAATGTATAGTTTTAAGCCAAATTCATAGTAGATAAGAGGAACAGGGTTGCACTGAGGAATTTTTCCACATCTACCTGGACATGTCAATGATAGAGTCTAGATCAGGGGTGGGCAGCTCTGGCCCCTTTATGACCTGTAAACTTCGACTCCCAGAATTCCTGAGACAGCATGGCTCAGGGATTCTGGGAGTTGAAGTCCACAGGTCGTAAAAGGTCTATAGTTGCCTATCCTTGATCTAGAGCAGTGTTTCTCAACCTTGACAATTTTAAGGCATGTGGACTTCAACTTCCAGAACTCCACAGCCAGCATTGCTGGCTGTGGAATTCTGGGAGTTGAAGTCCACATGCCTTAAAATTGTCAAGGTTGAGAAACACTGATCTAGAGCCTCCTGCATGCACTACCACTGAGTTACAACTCCTGGTAATTAACTAAATTTACTGAGTATGAAATTTTAGAACTGACTGATAAGCTAATTGTTGGACCAAAGAAACTAATGCTAACTTAGAAGATGCCCAATATTAAATCATCTCATTAGGCCAGGGGTGTCAAACTGCCGGCCTGCAGGCCAGTTGCATCATGCGGAAGCTGCGCCCACCCCAGCTCCGACAATTAAAAAAAAGTTGCGATATGTCGCAACACATCACGTGACACAGCGAGTTGGACACCCGTGCATTAGATTGTCTAGCTCAGTATTACATGCCTTAGCTAACATGCTGTGTTAAACCATGGCATGTCAAACTGTAAGTTCGTGAGAAGAACCTCAATTAACTAGGTTCACATAGCATGCTACACCTAAAATCAGATGATGGCTTAGCATGTTATATGAACTCAGTGACTGGTAAGAGTCTTAACTATTTGCGGTTGCTGTTTTTTTAATCGTGAGTCTTTCACCTCCTTTCATGGAAATACCAATAACTGAAACTTTCTGGGTACAAAGTTAGAAAGGTTACAAATGATTTATATCCCCTCTGCATAAACCATTATTTCCATGTTCTGTGGTATTAACAGAGAATACATCTCCCATTTAGCAAGAGGCTCCCTAGAGATTTAAAAATTAGCTTCCATTACAAAATGGGGAAAACATCTATTGTGTACAATAAAGAATTGGGAGATATTCCTTTATCAAATGGGATTGTTATTTTGACATAGCCCCTTAGGGACCAAACAGTGGTAGAAGTGTTTCATTTTCCATTCTAGCTATTTCATGATGACTATGATGGAACAAAAATAAATCTGCTTCAATTTCTAATAAAGTCTTCGGCTCTTATTATGGGCTCTTCATGGAATTATTAGAGCTTTCTCTATAGCAGGTCATCCAAATGAGTTATTCAGGATGTGGAGTGATGGATGGTTGTTTAAAGAGACTAACAATAAACAGGACAAGAGACACATAGCCAAGCAGTGCACACACACATTCACATACTTTCTAGGCTGCAGTCTATGCATTTAGAGCTAAATGTAAGCTTCCTATGACACATCATCCATCTTTCCCTGAATGGCACACCAAGGATAGTGGGCCTATTCAAATCTGAACAAGCCATAATTGTTAAAGCTTATGAACACAATGAGGGTGAAAAGGGAAGAGTGGGTAGACCCACATGAAGGATTGATATGTGCTGCTACTTTTTGAGAAAAAGATGAATCAGTGAAGAACGTTGGACTCTGCCAAGTACTTTATGTCTCCAGTCAAAGGATGTCAACTCTAGGACAGGGGTCTTCAAACTTGGCCCTTTTATGACTTGTGGACTTCAACTCCCAGAATTCCTCAGCCAGCATGCCTGGCTGAGGAATTCTGGGAATTGAAGTCCACAAGTCATAAAAGGGCCACGTTTGAAGACCCCTGCTCTAGGAGATGATGAGGATGTTGATAATCTTGTGAACAAAAAGGGTTGGTTTAACCAATAGGTCCCATTATGATTGACAATTGACTACTTTGATAAAATATGTACTCCAAGTGTCTAATGTGATTCGGTACTTAACCAAATTGGTGTCAAACAACTTGTTCAGTTTTACCGACCTAAGTGTATAATATTCGGTCGGTGAGGGTTGGATCCGTTAAAGTAGACTGCGTGAACTTCAATTCCCAAAGTTGTCAGCAATGGCCAATATGCCTACAGGTTCACAGCTGTAGAGGGAATCCAACTTGAGGAAAGCTGTCCTAGACCATAACAGTCACTTAATAATCAGTCATAAGTCAAGGACTACCTGTAGTTGATATCATACAGAAAATAGCTTTGAGGACATGCATTCAGCAAGCTTTTAAAAGAGCCCCAAAACATCAGCTAAATCCACAGTGATGACTTTTCAGTCACAGAAAGTTTGAGATGCAATGATATGATCATTATGTCACATCACCTGGGACTTGTTTGTTATAGCCACCTGTATAACCCCTGCTGATGTTTCCATTTGTTAATTATCACCAATCTGAACCATTTTAAATTAGGGAAGAATGGATGTTAGTACTAGGGACACAGTAAAGCGTATGAAATTCAGGAACAGTTTCTAGTCATAAGATTATTTAATTATCTGTATCTAAAGGCAATGCCTTGCAAAGCTTTAACA